CAAAAGATGTTCGATTTTTCTTCTACATTTACCCCAACTTGCTCTACTCGATTAAAAATTGAATAACTCAAGAACGGTATGTCTTAGCGATTTGTTCTTTCCAGCATAGAAAGAGCACAGTGGAGGACACTAGTCTATATAAGATACAATGGGATTCAATAGTGATGAAGGTTAGAAAAATATGAATCTTTGAAAAAAATTGATTGAACTCATAGTCCATAGAATCATTCTTTTCTTCTTTTAATAAAAAATAATGAAAAAAAAATATGAACCAGTTTTAATGATCGTTCAGAAAAGTCTAATCTATAAATATTATATAATAATGTTATCGATATGCTCGCATACGATATATTTTGCACTTTAGATTGTTTTTCAATCCATATTAACTCTTGTCATTCGCTTTAAAAGAATTGATAACCTGTATGTATATATTATTCAAGAGCAATTTCAATGAAGAACTGCATAACTTCTTCATGCTGGCCGTCAAGCTTTAGATAACCCATATAAAAGAAGAAAAGAATGATTCTATGGACTATGAGTTCAAGCTATTTTTTTCAAAGATTCATATTTTTCTAACGTTCATCACTATGGAATCCCATTGTATCTTATATAGACTAGTGTCCCCCACTGAGCTCTTTCTATGCTGAAAAGGACAAATCGCTAAGACACACCGTTTTTGAGTGATTCAATTTTTAACCGAGTATCTTTAATTCCCGAATACATATTTGTTGAAAAAAAGTTGCATACTATGGTTATGATGCTATAATGAGGAAAGAGACATTTCTTTTTTTTTTTCTCATTTGAATAGATTAAATTGTGTCTCAGTAATTAAAAAATCTCACTTTATATACTCTGTAAAACATATGGGAATTGCATGTGACAAAAACAGAAAATAGTTCGAGTTTATTCTTCTGTATATGCGCATCTATATATATATATGAAAAGATACTCTAACTAGGTTTTCTCTTGTCTATTTTCGACTGTAACATAATCAGATAGAGTTATCTTTCTTATAATCGAAAAGTATAAAATAGAACTTAATATAATTTGATATGTTTTAAGATACTTGACACAGATAATTTTTCTTGTGTACCTTTTGATTCAAACAAAACAAACAATGATATATTACAAAAAATAGATAACTGACATTAAAAATTATTACTTTAACTTTCGATACATAAGAAATATTGTCGAAATTTTAGTTCGATGATTATGATAAAGATTTTTTTTTCCCACCAATATGTAACAAGAAAACAAAAAAAAAGCGGTGATCTCTCTCGTTTCTAGTTTTTCTTTTTTCATTTTAAACAACACCCATTAATCAAAAGAATTAATAGATATTATTTTACGCTATCTGCACTATCCGTATGAAACAAAATACATTTTTTTGCCATCTATTGGATTTGTTCTTATACCTAATAAAAGATCAAAAAGAAGAAAAATTTTACTACTCATAGATATTCAATCTCTATGAGAAGGAATCGACTATATTTCAAT